AATCGCAGTATTGTCAAGTATTGTCAAGTATTTTAGGTTAGGTTAGGTTAGGTTACTAATTTCGCGATTATTTCTTTCGCGATTATGGGTTTCGCGATTTTTAAATTCGCAATTATGGGATTCGCGATTTTGGGGTAGACCCGTCTTTTATACAGTATTTTAGGTCTCAATTACAATAGTGATAGACCTTTAGGTTTATATAAAAGTATAACTTATAAAATAATTCTAAACCTTAGATATAAAACAGTAGTTTTCCATACAGTCATATAAAATATACATTGATATCAAGTCTAAATAAAATACAGTTAATACAGTAAAAGTCATAAATATGAGTGAGACTTAGTTTAAAATAATGGTTACATTAAGACAAATACTAAGTCCACTCTATTTACTAAATAAAATTTTCAATCAATAAGTAATTTCAAGTTTTTCATAATAAAAAATTATTATTCAAATATCGATTATTTTTTAATGTATACCATAAGACCATTAAAATAAACTTAATGTTTTGAATTAATACTTTGCATTACATTATTATTGGAATATTATTATCATTAAATTTTATTAAAATAAATGATTTTAAACTAAATTCAGCCATAAGTTTAATATTGTGAATGTGAGTCAGATTAGACAGTATGCTAGGTTAGGTTAGATTAACACGTAAATAACACTAACAAAGCTTTTATCATACTGTTCCCTCCCAGACCTTGCTCGTTTCATACTACAGTACAGTACTTAAAACATTATTTAAACATAAGTTAAGTATTGCTGTGAAAAATAATTGTTAAAGTTCTAGTACAACTTTTAGGCCTGGGTGTTTTCATTATACCAGACCCCTGTTCATGCAAAGGGACTGGAATTTTGGTGAACACCATAAAGAGGGTTTATGTACCAGAGTTTGACGCTCAACGAAACGGTAGCGTATGGTGAGGGCCGGTAGGGGCTCGTCGTGTAGGCGATCCAACCGTGTGGTGATTATTGTCCGACCGCTCATGTATTGTGCGATTAGTTGTGACGTCAGGCATAGGATATCCGAAACACACACTAATCTCACCAATAGTTTGGACACGTTTTACACATTTAAACTCAATTTGATTGGTGAGAGTAGTGTGTGTTTTGGGATTCCTATACCTGGTGTGTGCAAGGTAGTTTATCAGTACAATCTCGTACATTGCGTTTATACCCGTTAGCCGAAGACTTGGCGTAACTGTTTTGCTCCTAAATATGACGACAACATCAGCGCCTAAGACCCCATCAAAACTCATTGCTTACCATTAGATGTGATAACAAATGCAGACTTATTAAATACTTTGAGATATATTAAGAGGTGGTTAACAGATAGCGATTAAAACGAGTGGTATTTCTGGACATGAACTGCATATACAGGCCATGAATTCGTGGTCAGAGATGACACTGAGAACAGATCCAAAGAGTCGGTGGACAGACATGTCTTCACAGCTGATGGACGAGCGATCTGTGGATTAAGACATGAGAATCAGTACCAGAATCGCAGTATTGCTGCCAAACATA